GCTCGGGCCACCGAGAATTATTATCTACTGGGTATTGGGGCCAAGCAGTAGTGCAATAGAAAATTAGGCGTTTGGAATGTTAAGTCCTGAGCCAGTCCCAGGATGCCAAGATTGAGTAAAAGACACCCCAGAAGAGTAGTAGGGTCTGGTTTAGAATTCTGGTTACTATGATCCCTTAAGTCCTGATGGGAAGGTTCTGTTAAAGTACCAGCATCCTAGTCGCTTTGCTACAACCTTGGTAATGGAGACCAGAAGAATAAAAGGGACGTCTCCACTAATATTCCCCGGTCTGGAAAGACAGGGAATCCACGGCATCCCCAGGATGTCTCTGTCTTTGGAATGGGAGAGCCTCTGATGTAGATCTACGCTTTTAAAACAGACAGAAAATGGGCAGAGGCTCTGGAAATGGAACTGAGACCTGGGATCTGAGTGCTGAGAATGGAGAAACTAACCAGAATGGGGAAACTCACCGTGTTGAGTGATGGCAGCTGGAGATTCCTGGTCCACAGCAAGAAGGAAGAAAGGGAGGGGGGGGGGCGCAGCACTCTGCCTCAGCAGAGATTACTTATGTCCCACTCCCCTCCCGGGTTTCTGCATCAGATGTAAGGTTGTGAAGAAGAGAGGAGGCATGAAGAGTGGGATAAAGAAAAGTTTTATTCTGTGCTCCTGGGCGAGGTTTACGGGTACCTGATGAGGTACACAGGTCTCTGAGAGGGGCCAGAGAAGTCTCGCCGCCTGGACAGGAGTTTATATAGTTGCATAGCAGACCTGAGTGGGGGCAGAGAGAAAAAGGTGGGAACCAATCAGGTGAAAGAACCTCATTAGCATAGTCGTTAAGGGAGGGGAGAAGGACCTGTGGTGGTTCAAAATAAGGCGGGAACCCATCAGGTGGAAGCTGCATCCGGGTTGGCCTGTTTGTAACTTCTTCCTGCTCTTTTACCCACCTGACTGGCGCCGCGTTCCTGCCTGACAATAAGATTAGCTTTTGCCAGTTTGAGGAACATAAAATCAAGTAATCTGAGAATATATGAAAATTCAAATTGAGAATGTTTTATGTTAAGTTTTTTAAAAGGGGAGGAGAGTAGGTTAGGGTCGGGGATGGTAGGTAATTGGGAGTGAAAGCAAATTTATACGAACTGTTGAATGTAAAACAATTCTGCTCTGTAAATATGCACCCAAAGCACAATTAAAAAAAAAAAAGTTCTAAAATTACTTTGTTATTATGTGGGGTTTTATTCATTAAACTATTAAGTATAAAGTTTTGAGAAACAGATTCATCACTCTCACACACTTAGCAAAAACTGAGATTATCTTTAGTTTTCAAATTAGAAACTATTAAGTTAGGCAGTTTCTAGGAGATAATTCAAGTACCATCTGTATATCCACCCAACCCACTGCCATCGAGTGGGGTCCGGCTCATAACGACCCCTCCTTAGGTTTCTAAGGCATATCACTATGGAAGCATATTGCCCAAGCTTCCTTCGGAGGAGTGGCGGGTGGGTTTGGACTGCCAGCCTTCTGATTAGCAGTCAAGTGCCTTAGGCACGTTGTTGTTGTTATGTGCTGTCGCGTCAGACCCGACTCATAGTGACCCTTCCTTGGATTTCCAAGGCAGTATAACTACAGAAGTAGATTGCCCAATCTACCTTCCGAGGAGTGGCTGGTGGGTTTGAACCGCCAACTTTCTGGTTAGTAGTCAAATGCCTTAGGCACTATGCCACCAGTTATAACCATTTAAGTGTATACTACCTTCCAAGAGTGGTTTATAAAGGACCGTCAGAATAAAAATCTATTTTATGATTGAAAATTCTTATATTCAAATCTATTAGATGATAAAATACTCTATTGAACTTCCTGTGTTGTAATCATTTACAAGGAATTTTTATTTGATTTTTCAAATAGTTTATGTATTTTATGATTTACAAATATAATTGAAGGCACACAATATTTTTTTTAAAATTTTATTATGGTTTTGTTGAAAGTTTACAGAGCAAATTCATTTTCCATACACCAGTTCACATACACTTTGTCTCATGATATTGACTGCAGTTTCCCACAATGCAACAGCTCTCTTCCTACTTCCTCCCATACTTACCTCTTCTTTGTGTCCTTCCCTTCCATGCACTTCTGCCCCCCAAGCTGTCTCTCTCTATATACACAGCCCTTCTATTCTCCCATGATTGATTTCTCCAAGGAGTGAATATACCTATCGTAAATGTTCAGCTCATATTCCTGTCTTTTGTTTGGCTGGAAGCCACAGAAGTGGATTTAATTTCAGACCTGAAGGGCAGCTAGGAACTATAGTCACAGGGGTTCCACCAGGCTCTATCAGACCAGCAAACCTGGTCCCTTTTTTTAAAAAAATATGATTTTGAGTTTTGTTCCACATTGTTCTCCCCTCTATCCAGGATCTGCTACATAGATCCCCTCTGAGTGGTTGACAGTGGTAGCCAGGCACCATCTAGTTCTTTTGGTCTCATAATCATATAGGCGGAGGATTACATGGTGTACCAGTCCCTTGGACTAATTGTTTCCATGCGTCTTTGGTTTTCTTCATTCTTCACTACTCTGGACAAGGAGAGACCCATCGTTTCATCTAGATGGCTGCTTGCAAGCTTTTTAGATCCCAGTCGTAACTTGCCAAAGTAGGATGTGGACCAATATTTTTGTGTAGTATATTATGCAAATTGAGATTTATGTAAAGTCATACAATGTTTTATTCTCACAATACTAAAACCATCTTATGAAACAAATGAGTGATTTTTATATATTTTTGGTATTTTAATATAGTTCTTGTAGAATTAGGAGGAAGTTGGAGAAACAATGGGAGGGAAGGTGTAGATGACCATGGTTAAGGAGTGATGTTCCCTCTAGTTGCTAATACCCACATGGGCACCAACCCAGAATAAAAAACTTCGCAAAATTATTTGAACTGAAGTCCAACACTGCGCTGAACTCTGGTGTGAAATTGAAGGAAGGGAAAAGCATTCAGCTGTTCTCTCATAGGACAGAAAAGATCATGTAGTCCATGGTCTCAGGTATATATCTAGTCAAAATTCTAGTTAACTATAATTTTCTCAGCAATTTTATTAATGATAATATTTTTCCTTTCATATGACTATAAGCATTTTTTCTTTTTACTATATTATTATATTTTATAAATTTGCCCTTTTATTTTGTATTTAAATAATGAACCAGTAAATCTAAGTAAAATACACTCCTGCAAAAATGTGACAATGCAATTTCTAGATTCAAATATCATAAATTTGTTTCAATTCAAAATTATCTGCTCATAAATGTATGTGCCCTTTCTCCTAAATAACAAACAAACAAAAAAAGAGTGCATTATTTTTCCTCATTCAGTGTGTTTGTGTGTTTTATTTTTCTTTAGTGGGGTTGTCACTGTCATTACATAATTTTCTTATTTTATGTGTGTAACAGCCTGGGATTATTGAAATAAACCTAAGACCCATCTGAAGATAAAGTGTTCTTGGAGTAAGTTATAGAAAGTCATTCTTGTTTGTGTTATTGTGAGCGTTTTTATGAACTTGATTTGCCATTTCACTCTAGTGAAAAGTATTTTCCTGATAGCAACTGGTATTATGCTTTCCAAAACATATCAGTCATTAAAACATCCAAGTACTCAATCAAGCATGCTTAGAATTTCTCATTGAAACCAAAAGTAATAGGAAATTTCACATAGATGTGTATAAAGCTAATTGAAAGGCAAATTGTTCAACAATTATCTTTTTTAAATTTAAACTATGACCTATTTATGGCATAAAGACATTTTCTCAGCCAAAAGCTGGTAGCACTCATCAAATCCTGGCACCAATACTGTAGATAACTTAATCTAATATATATCCAGCTTACATAGCAACATTTTAAGACCATGTAAGTCTTGCCAAATATGCATCCTAAATTATTTTAAAGAAACTCTTGTGGCACAGTGATTAAGTACCTGACTGGTAAGCTGAATGTTGACAGTTCAAACCCATGCAGAGGCTCCATGAGAAAAGACCTGGCAATCTGCTTCTATGAAGATGACAGCCTAGAAAACCCTATGGGGGGTTCTACTCCGCCACATGGGGTCACTATGAGTCGAAAATGGACTCCATAGTACTCAACAACAAATCATAAAATTTTAACACATCATTTAAAGTAGACTCAGGAATCGAAATATAAAATATCAAAATATTAATTATGTTACTATTTTTTTTGTGTGTATAATTATCATCCACACATAGAGAAAAAAAAATGGAATGCCCTTTAGTTAGAGTCATAATTTGCAGAGCCCAGTGCAAAGTGAGGTCCTTTGTTCATACATTATTACGAATTCAAAGCATTAAATTAAGCGTGGAGCTCTTCTGAGCACTTGTCCCTACACAGCTGCACAGGTCATATGCTATGAAGTTGGCCTTGCCGGTAACATTCCTGCCATTCTTCTATTCAGATATATCTAGCATACAATAAAGAAAAAAAGGCACAAAGTGGCAATCTGTTATATTTAAGTAAAGTTTAAGCTTCAACAGTTTTTTGAGGGAGTTTCTCAACTGAAATCCTAAAGACTTTCTCTTACTACTCCCACTCTATAACAGAATATGGAAGCTTACACTCTCTAATAGCTTGAACCCCAGATAAAATCTAGATTAGTGGTTGTAACTGTTTTTTCCTACATAAGATTGGTTCAAGCAATATATATTCAATAGTGTTTTCTTTATAGAAGTGTGAAAAGAATGCATGCATTTGACATTGTTTAATAAATTTTCAAAAGTAAAATTTTGCATGTTGTAATTAGGTGTATTTTGTGTGTTCAGGTAAGTGGATGAAATCAAACTACTTAATGGTTTTAAAGGAAAGTACCAGTGAACTTGGCACTGTTGTTCTCTGAAATGGTGTGCTGAGTTGGTTTTTAAATGAAAAGCAATGTCTTCTACGCCCTGTGGGCCCAGACTAGAAATACTAGACATTTGATTTTATACTCCAATTTATCTTTTTAGGGATGCAAGTATTGGAATGGAATGGAATTCCTTTAACTTCTAAAACATACGAAGAAGTGCAAAGTATAATTAATCAGCCAAGTGGGGAAGCAGAAATATGTGTAAGACTGTGAGTTTTTCCCCATCTTTTGGTTTCCATTTTTTGGCTATTCATGGCTGTTTTAATTTGAAATTGTTAAGGTGGAACCTTTCTAGTCAGCAAGATTTTTCTGTAATTAGAAAATAAAGTGAATACAAATTTTATAGATGTCTTGTGTTCAGAATCAAACTCTAAAGCATAGAAAGAATTCAGCTAATTTTCTTTCGGATGATGTTAATAACTTTTCCCTTTTGTGCTTTTATTGATACATGCCTCATGTAAATGAAAGCCTAAGCCCATTTTGATTTCATGAATATGTATAGTATTTCAAAATGAACTTACGTTTAATCCATAAAGATTTCACCTTAAATAATCATTTTTATGAGCTCGAACTTTTAACAACATTGCAAATGTATATTGGGTTAGAAGGGTGAGCATGCTTTGGAGTTGCTTTCTGTCATTAACCACTTCTCATTTACCTACTGAAACAAAATATTCAGGGCAGTTTGGGAAAAAAGTGCCTTTTGTCTCCGGCTTCCTCAATTGCTTTCTTAATGTTATGTTTTAACTTTTAGGGACCTCAATATGCTATCAGATTCTGAAAATTCCCAGCAACTGGAACTTCATGAACCACCAAAAGCTGGTAGGTGAAAGCAATCTGCTTACAACTGCATGTAAAGATGTAGATGTAGGGAGGTAGGGTGATTTTTGTTTTTTGGTTTTTTTTAAATATTATTTTACTGTGTACTCACTGAAAGTTTACACAACAAATTAAGGTCCTATTTGATAGTTTCTACACAAAGTGTTCAGTGACATTGGTTATATTTTTAAAACTGTAAAACATTCTCTTTGATTGTGTTCTGGTTGTTCCATTTCCAGTACTCTAGTTTTCCTATTCCCTTTTCTTTTCATTTTTGCTTTAGAGTAATTGCTGACCTTTTGGTACCATATAGATAGTTTTTAATGGTGCACCATACTCATACTTTGTTTTGTGGGTCATTATGTTATTTCATTAAAAGATGACCTTGGGATAGTTTAGATTCAAGATTAGAGTATCTCAGGTTATAGTCTCAGGTGCCCTCTAGTCTTAATTGGCCCAGTTAGTCTGGACTTGTTAAGATTTTGATTCTGTTCCTCATTCTTCTCTCATACTATCAGAGTCCATCTATTGTGGCTGTGATCAGAATGCTTGCAGCATCTAGTTCTTTTGGTTTCAGGGTACATGAGGCTGTGACTCATGTAGGTTATTAGACCTATAGACTAGTTTCTTCTCTGAGATTTT